TTGCGTATCGGTGATATCCGACTTTCTAGCTGATTTAATGCTAACTGCTAAGTATGCGTATAATATTGCTAATGTTGTTTACGCCAAAGCTGGTCAATGGCTATGTAGGATTTTCGTATTTACTATAGCAGCATCATATGGAATCTCCATCTTGACAATTTGCTTAATTGCTATAATTCATTACTTTAAAGTCACTAAACCAGATTATAACTGTAGATTCTTCGGAAAATATACAGTGATAATATATGAATTGATAGTTATTCTGATTGCAATTACTCTTGCATTGCCACTATTTCACTTTCTTGATGTGTATGTTGATGAGCCGAAATTTTGTGATTTGCCTGTGGTAAGCAACTACGTCTCACTGTACTTAATTATTCAAACTATTATTCTCTACTTCATTCCTTCACTAACACTGACTGTAATGTATTGGAAAATTATTCGCTTTATTACAAGATATGTCCAACCTCAAAGTTCATTATCTACGAAATGGAGAGCAATACGTAGTAAAGGATTAGTGAAAATGTTGGTGGTTATAGTGGTGCTAGATATCTTGCTTACTTGGCCCTATTTCGCAACTATTGTGGGGATTGCTATTACCCGGAAATCTCAGCGACAAATACGCCAAATGAATCATACCTACTTTGTACTAACATTTTATTCATTTACTACGACTGGTGCTATAACTATTTTAAATCCCATAATGCTTCTTAATTTCGATCATGAAATTAAACTGGCGTCGAGAAGATTGATTAAACGACTGTTGAAGTGTTGTCAGCAACAGCAGTCTCATGCCATCCAGATTACTGTAACTTTTCATCCGTAATTATCTTGCTGGAGCCTAATATCTGTGAATAAAGATTTTCAATACCCTCAAATGACTAAGATAACTATGGTGGACTTAACTGAATTCATTTAAATCTCATTGCTTTATAGATCATAATACCATAATCAAGATTGAGTCGGTTTGTGTGGACAACTAATTCACTTACTAAAATCCACAACTTTGACAATCTTAATGTTAAAATGACATTATCTTTAATATAATGCTATGATAAGTTCTGCACTCTACAGATGAAAGCCTATGTCAAAAGGTATGCGTAGGGATAACTTCATCGACATGAATCTACTGCAACTGCTTTATCATTACGTAAATAAAATTAGGTTTTCATAAAATATGATATTTTACATTTTCAAAGACGCGATTTATTTCCAGCAACTTTTATATCACAATGATGTGTCTTGAATGTGTTTGATTAAAAGATACAGATTCTAGACGTGAAAATAAAAATTTTAAAAATATTCGTCCGGAGAGCTGTGACGGAATCAATCGAAGTTAATTACAGTAATATTTTAAAAAATATAATTCGTGCCCTGTGCCCTTTGAGTGCTATACCACAATTGCTGGTATACGAGTATCTTAAATGTAATGTTGAGTAAGATTTAATAATCGGGCTCCAATTTTAAAATGATGAACAAGATGAAATTAATTGAGTTTCTATGAGCTAATAAGACGCTGATTAAAATCCTCTCACAGATCATTTTTCATTGCAGAAGATGTCATTTATAGCCTCAAAAGTTGAACATTATGATGATCTACTTAGCATGCAATGTTAAGTTGGAGTAAGATTCTATAGGAACAAATTGTTAAGGGTAGTATTTAATTAATTCGATTGAAGACTATTGATACAGCAGGCTGAAATAGGGAATTGGATTATGTAACAGTAGCAGATACTTCCTTCTCCAATTCTCGATAGAAGATTCTTGAATATTACGAAAACTTTATTATGAAAGGGTTATATTTCAGACCTATAGTTGTAGAAATAGGAGCCTGGCTGGAATGGTATAGAAGAAACTCAATTTATACTATATTAACACGTGATATACCGATTTAAATTGATATTTACCTGCAGTAAATGTAAATATTTTTTCTTAATAGTGATAAAGATAATAGCGAATATTCATCGTGCAACGAGCTTTGAATAATTCAGTTTAATTAGCGAAATAATTACATAGAATAGCTGATGAAAAGTAGTTAAGACCTTGCTAAAACATTCGATATTGAACCTCCTTCAGAGCAGATCCAATTGAGGGTACAAATTTTACTTGATAAATTGTTATTGATATTTCGTTAGAACAAATCAAACCTCGAGAATAGGATCAAAACTAAGCAACCTACTAAAAATATGTAGGCATGTAAGCAATTCGGATCAATCGATCAGGATATTCTATAGAAATATTGTACTGTGGAACATAGAAGATGGAGACAGAAATCTTCAGTAACATTCTACTTCTATTCATTGAAACTGGATTCCTGCAGATGCATTGAAGTTGATGTTAATCCAGCAACATCCAGGTTCTTCTAAAGCATATCAACCCGCAAAAGGCAAGAAGAATCTTCATAGGATAGATCTCTCATAGCCGTATAGTAGAACAGTCAATTAATTGAAATAAATTTACTGCAGCACTCAGACATTCTGGTCTAGTCCATCGAAAAATGGCGGTTGCTTTTCATGGGCCATGATCAATCACGTGATGCAGCCACTAAAGTAAAATGAAGGCGATAGAGAACTTTCCAGAATCTTTCAAATCGGAGCATTAGTAATTTTCTGGAATCAAGAAATGGAATTAACCCTGCACCGATCTATTTGCCAGTGGATGGATTTTAAGTCGTTATTCAATCGGTTATAGGATAGATTATGAATATGGACTTGATTTATGTTTATATTTTAAGAATAAATCAAATATATTAATACTCTAAAGTAGATAGATCATGCCTAGATACAAGAAGAATTGAACTACTAAAATCCTGCCGTGAATGCTTCTGCGCACTGGTCATGCTTTCTTCTTAAATTTTTGGAGTCAGATCCGAGCTGCCTGCCTCCTACAGAAGAAACTATATCCTGGCAACGTTAGTCATAGAAATTTCATTCCATTGCCTTCTCTTCTACCGCTAGAAATATTGTAACCAAATTGTACAGTTACGATTGTTGATCTAGGCATCTATCGTGCTAGATTATGACAAATTATGTGCTACTTTTGACATCTATTTAGATAAATTAAGGTATAAAACGATAAAGCCAATTTACACTGTGCACACAATCAACAGCCATTGAATTGACCAGGTGTAAGGAGGAGTAAGTTTTAATTAAATAAATGTCAATCCTAGAACTTGTCTACTGACGTAATATTAATGATACGTATTTAGATTTAGTCAGTTATAACGTTTACGAAGGGGCAACAATGATATGTAATAATCTAATCTTATATCAATTCTTATAAACTGTGTAGTATCTATGATAGACATGATACGAGATATCATTATCGAAAATAAAATAACTTCAATTTAATCCATAGATATGTTACTTTTCTTACTGTAGTGCTGCTTGTCTAGAGATAAATCGTGAATATAAATGCCTAATAATGCCAACCTAGTTAATAACTTTGTCATTCTATTCCCAAATCGATGAATTCCCCATGTAAATTGATGTTTCTAAACCCATGAATCTAATTTCTACCAGCTGCCGAACGCTACCTTTTTGTTACTTTATTTACTACAGTAGTGCTTATTTAGAGATAAATAACGATCTTGAAGGATCTAATCAAGTCTAATCCTTTCAGTGAGTTTGCAACTAAATATCTAAAGTGATTCAAATCCTAGATCAAAATAACTTAATTCAATGTAAGATGCTACTTTCTGCCAGCTAACTAATAAATTTTGGTAATTTAGTATATCTTTCAAAAGCAAACGTCGTTAGCATAGAGCTTCCTATTTAAAAGCTTCTTATTCTTGATCCACGTACATGACGAAGTATTAACGGCTACGTAAATTGATAGAAGTGACAAGTTTTTGCTTTCTCGATTATATTAAAATCAATTGATCATCGTTGTGATACATTAGAGATCTTGACTAGATAAAAGCTTTGCAGTAACGCAGCATAAATTACGATCAATAAGTTGTCTCCTGAGTCACGTATCAGCGATCTAAATCTGTGCTATCGAGAACACTTTCCTCTGATAACGAAGAACATAAAGTATTGGGTGCCTGGTACTTTGCTTTAAATACTAATTTAAGAACTCTTTTCATTATTTTGAATACCGTACCGCATTTATAGACTCTTCTACAATAGCTCATGAATCTTAAATAGTACTATTAACGTTAAGACCTTCCTTTTAACTAGAGAATACTTTTTCTTACCGTTATCTAATGAAAATAACATCATTTACGAACTATCATATCTAATAACTGATACAGGATAATCAGATTATGACATGTCCCATCTCCGAACGTTTACATGATAATCTTCAATCTTTCTGATTAGTAAAGTTACAATCACAATGATAGGCTAACAAAATTTCATAGCATAGATATTTCCGTAGCAATCTATATATAGCAGCATTAAGACTGTCACAGTCTTTACCTAGCAGTGCACAATTGATAGCTTAGATTAATAAGTAACGCCTTAATTGTTATGTTTCTAATTTCTAGACGTGAAAAAATTTTTTAATTTTACTACGTTTAAATATGAGATCATTACGAAATCGTATTGATATGTTTATCAGTATAATATATTTTTTGAGTACATGAATGTTTATATTATCTGACCATTGTGCTCAGAATTGTAATAGATTAAACCTACTGTTTGTTAAGCGCCTTACATATGTAAAGTATTCCATAAGATTGATGCATGACATTTGAACTAACGATGGATTACAGTATTCATTGCAGTATCTGTTAAATGTTACATGGTAACGGTTTTGCTTGAAAGAAAATACTTTCAAAATATTAGTATGAAATTTATAAATGTTGGTAGACATATAGAGTTAAAGTTTACAGCTCATAATAATTTCATAATTATTTTACGGCATAAAAACTCGTGAATTTACTAAGTAAATTCTTAAAGTATCGCATTTTGATCAATATATATGCACTTTATCTTTAAGCTAGCCCTTTAAGCTTTTAATATTTCATTTATTTAGAATTTATACAGACATCAAGCATGATATCGAGAGAAGCGAGAAATGTATTTCGAAAATACTTAAGAAGACTTTACAAAGAGACTCCTTCCATTGAAATTATTAACGAATTAGTCGTTGAGAAGATATTATCAAGCTGTGATGCTAAGCGTTTGCGTAAAATTGATGAAGAATCAGAAAGAAATTTTGAACTAATAGATATATTGCAAAAGAGAAGAGATGAAGACATTGTCCAGTTTTGTAAGATATTACAGGATTGTGATGTACAAACCGTTCAGGAACTCGGTAAAGAACTAGAGACGAAGCTAATGAAAGTTATAAAAACTGTAGATTCGAACAGTGGAGAAGCCTCATCAAGTGTTAATGGTATGTTTATCTGAACAGAATAAAATTTACCTGCTAAGCCCGAAACAGAAGTAGAAACCATTTTAAGCTGAAACATAGTTTCGGAATTTCTATAAATACAAGTTTATTCTGCTGCTGTAAATGAATTGTCATATACAATTTTTCTCGTAGTTAGTCATTCGTTTGATAATCCTTCTATAACGTGCAATTCTGCATAGAAATTATGATATACAGCTGATGAGAAGCGATTTAAATCCAGAATACTTGTAAAATATAAGATATATTTTCTTATATGCTCAAATGCTTAACTAAATGGCAAGCGGTGATGGCTTACTGCAATAGAATATAATGGATATAAAATTTAGTATCTATAATTACTTATTAAATTTGCATTAATTTGATACTTAGAGACGTCATTCTAATCTACCAGAAAAATTTAGTCTATACTTATTATTCATTCAATAACAAGCGACACATTTAAAATGACTACCAGTACATAATTCTAGATATATAACGTATTTTAAGGTGTTTCTTTAGAACGATCAGTTCTTTTTAAGACGTCCATCAATGATCATCATCGCATTTACGTTCAAAGGGTCTAACTTATGCAATGTTTACTTACCTTTTTAGAGGATCGAATTGGTGCTGATGCAGGTAACAATCATCTTTTGCATATAGCTACTAAAGTGAAAGACTTTAATTTAAATTTACTTTTATCGGACAGGTATTAATCACTCTTTTACTTGTATTGACCTTCACACATAACATGTCGTCCTTTAATTTACTAGTTATTTCCTCTCGCATCGTTCAACAAACCAATCCTATAGATAGTAGTAAAAATGGCAACAATTCAGGTAGGCATATATAATTTATTTTCAACTTGTTCAGCCTTTTAATCTCCAGAATATTGAATCAAATTTCATTCATTTTCTATATTACATCAATAGCATACAAAATTGCAAATTAAAATGATAATTTCTACCCGTACTATAATGAAAAAGTTTAGAGGTTTCGATTGATTATTCACTTTAGTCGATAATATTAAACTGATATTACTATTTTTGATGATATTCTGATTAAAAGAAACTTAGGCGATATTAATTTTACTACAGTAACATTAGCTACTTATGAAATGACGCAAGTAAATACCGTAATGATTATATTGATAAATATGTAAAAGTTAATACGTTAGGCTTTAACACTTTTTCGTATTACTTTAGAGCCATTTGACAAATACTTTCGCGTTATTGCGGGAGAACTTCGTTACGATCTTGCATTTCGTTTGGGAAATACTTTAAGATTGAAAACAAATGAGATTGAGGAGATTAAAGGAACAAATTCTGCACGATATGACAAAATGTACAAAATTTTGGAATTTTGGAAAAATGAACGCGGCACAAACGCAGATATTGCTGAAGTAATTACAGCGTTACGCTCCATGAATCAAAATTTGATAGCCGATAAAATTCAAAAAATTTAGCTTCAATTAAGGCTTACGTCTGTGTTTTACATTTTCAATTAAGTTATGTACAATTGAATATTAGTGTACCGGAATAAAAGTACATTTTAACTAGACCGGTAGGATGTACTGTCTGTCAAGACTTATACTAAAAGATTTGATATCAAATTGTCTTCGATTAATTAGAATCCAATAGTTACAAATATGAT